GAAAATTTATGCGTAATAATGACTACAAAATTTGCATAGCTAGCAATTTTACAGGCTTATGTAAGTGACTCGCATTCCAACTTAAAGACCAATTTTACATTATCAACTTAAACATCAATACGGTGGCCTATATTTCCTCTCTAATCCTCCACCTCACCATTTAACTAAATAACTAAAACCATCAAAGGCCTGTCTTTCTCTAGCATTGCACATTTGATGCATTTACATCTAATCTTACAAGCTGTCTTGCATGCACTTAATTTAAGCAGCAGAAAGGTGATTAACACTATTAATATTGTTAGAACCACTAAATTTACAGAGGCCTCCGACCAAGATTCAAATCCTGTTTCTCGGTGATTAAGAAAAATTTGTGCTATTTAGTTTGAATGCCTTAACAAACCCAACCTCTTTCTCTTTGGATCTCCAGAATGGAAGCAAGCTGAATAATTCAAAACTAAAGCAATGATGAATCAAGCCAGAGTACTCTCAACATATTCCATTACAGATTCAATTCGTTCTTCATCACCTTGGGACTTCTCATAATCAAAATACTTTTTAAATAAGAACTGCAAATCATGAAAACAAAGTCCCCAATAAGTCTGATAGGAAAATTACAAAACAACATCAGCAAAACTGAGACACCAATCTTGAATTCAAGAATAGCTGTCTAAGCGATGAATTTAATGTGCTTATGTCAGGGAAGTCTTAACAAAGCACGATTGACCACAGGTTGAATTCAATCTTGCTTTTGCTTCAAAATACTATGTACATTTATGAAGCACCGACACTTCAAAAACCCTGACGTGTCGTGTCCGACACTTCCCGACACTCTCCGACACTCCGACACTCCAACACACATTATAGAAATCCAAAAAAAATGTTAGATTCATTGGATTACGATTACCATTTTATTAAATTTAATATAAATATTTGGGATATCTTATGTTTCTTTGCAAAATTGATGAATATTATAAGTTCGGTTTCATTTTTTTGTTAAATTATTGAATATTAAATATAATATACACTACATAAACTAAAAATATTATTTAATATCAAAACGTGCCCTAACGTGTCGAAATCTAACATTTTTTAAAATTAACGTGTCGGAGTATCGTGTCGTGTCGTGTCACCTGTCCTGTGTGAGTATTGGTGCTACATAGATGTACATGCCTCAACCAAACCTAAAATCCAGTGTATGGGAAAAGCTTAAAAAACCCCTATTGTTTTTCTTAGAATCACTTACCCCTATGATTGTTTTTTATCGTTTACCTTATAGTTTTTTCATCGAGTTCACCTTCTAACTTTGTTAAAAATTAAATTAAAATATTCATTTCGCCCTTGTAATAAGAATTATTGTAGAGATAAGAATTTTATAGGCCATGTATTTTTTTATCCAAATCTAATTGTTTTTTAAAATTTGTATCGAAGTGTCAAAAACTTCCCATAGCAATGATATTAAGAGAAAAATTACAATAAAAGCTTCAAGTGAACAACTAATTTCGATTTCCAATAAGATAATATTCACAATATTATTGACAAGAATGAACGCTTAATTTAGAATTATTATCTTTCTTCTTACAAATTTATATATCTTTTTTTTTATACCAACAAATTTATATATCTTTAATAAAAATGACTTGACTTCAGTTTGATAAATATAATAATATCTTAAATTTAATAAATAAGATTAAAGATTATTTAAGTACTAATCAATTTATATGTAAATATATTTTTATTCTAGGTTCAAAAATTAAAATGAAAACAAAAGTGAGCTGAGGATAGGTAAAAGAAAAAATAAAAATATTATTAAAAATACTAATATGTTAAGGAGTAGATTAGTCTATTGAAGTACATTATTCACCAACATTACGCTCAAAATTATGAGCAAATATGCATAGATAAGAAGTCAATTAACCACAAATAAAATAGAAAAATCTGGAAAAATTCAATTAGATGATTGAATTATTTTTTTATCATTATAATTAACAATATATAATTTTTTTTATCCCACTTCACTATAAATTATATATTGTTAATTTATTGTAATACTAAGACAAACAATCAAATATATATTATATGTTCAAACCCTTAACTCCATTAGAATATGTAGAATTTAACTTAAATTGAACTCTTTTTATTTTAACCTAATAAGCTCCTCATTTATTTGAATTTTTTTAGATTTTCTTGTTTTATTTATGGTCAATTTGCTTCTTATTTGTGCGTATTTTCTCATTGATTTAAGCATAATATTGGTGAGTAATGTACATCAATGTACCAACCTACTCCTTAATAATAAAAATATATTTACACATAAATTGATGGGAGATATTATATTTACTACTAAAAAGTTTTACAACTCTTACTACTAAATGAATCATCGTTGATTTCCGTCAATCTAACGGTTATAATTTATTAAGTACACTTATTAATTAATTATTAATTCTTAATAAATTATAACCGTTAGATTGACGAAAATCAACGATAATTAATTTAGTAGTAAGAGTTGTAAAACTTTTCAGTAGTAAGTATGACCGTCTCTAAATTCATTACTTAAATAATATTTAATTTTATTTATTAAATTTAAGATATTATTACTTTTATCAAACTGAATTTATAAGAAGAAAGATAATAATTATAAGTTAAGCATTAATGTGTAACTCTCTATTTATCTTACTAGACAGTAAGTGTTTGAACTCTTAGCTAATTGTTTTCGGTATTTGAAGGGGAATGACCATTCCCCTAATCTATGATGCACTGACACGGAACACGGGACATGATACGACACGACATATAAATTTTATAAAATGTCATATTCCGACACGTTTTAATATTAAATAATTTTTTTAACATATATAATATAGCTTATATTTAATACATATAGTAGCTCATAAAAAGTCATAGATTCAATCAATGATTATAATCTCCTAATAAAAATATTACAGCACTCGCTTCACAGAAATATTACGAAAGCTACTCCAAGTCTATCATTAAAATCGTTCTAAAATCAATTTTGTTGGTCGTTCCTCTTGCATGCCTTAGACATCCATTGCAATGTAAGGAGAAAATTCAAATTAAAATTTTAAGAGATATAAAACCCAGCCCCTATTTTGAACAAACGAACAGAGAGAGACATCAGAGAGAGAGAGAGGGATGAGTGAGAGAGACATCAGACCACTTACCAACTGAAGAAGCAAGAAGAGGGGTAGCTGACGAAGAAGAATAGAGACAGCCAAGCAGCACTTACGACCGACGAACCGAGGAAGAATAAGCAAAGAGCAGCGACGAGCTTGCAACGCGTTAGAGAGGGATATCAACATTTAAAGAGAGAGGGTTCTAAATTTTTAATTTTTATTAAATGTACGTTTTTTACTTTTTTTTTTAAATTATAATTTTATTAATTTTTTTTATGAAAATGCAAAAACGTGTCCAAAAACATTGACTACGTGTTGGTCAAAGTCACGTGTCGAAATAGTCAACGTGTCCCAAAAAATTAACTGTGTGTCAGACACGTGTTGGGAACGTGTCGGTGTTCGACACGTATTTTTTCCAAAAATTACCGTGTCTGTGCATCAGAGGCCCTAACTCCCTGTCTCGCTTGAAACACAACAGGAGGTAGCCAAAACTTTAAGAACTAATTGAAAATATTCATCAGTTTGCAATAGCTAGATTTCATTAAAGGAAATATTACTCTCCTTTCACATAAGATAATTTCTCTTATATTATCTCACTTTGATTTTCGCACCTCACTTTTCTTTTTTTTTCTTTTTTTATGCAATGGTAGGACCCACCCATTTTCTTTTTACAACATAAGATAACAACTATCTTATGTAAAAGGAGAGTAATAAAACCCTTTCATTAATATAGCTCAAATCCAGTAATTATTTATACGAAAATTTGTCTTATGTTGGTGAATGAAAGGAAAATCTCTCATGCACAAAATAATAATTATATATTTTTTTCACTTTTCTCAAATTGTCGGCTGAAAAAATAATATTTTTACCATTATAGCTATATATTATCCTTAGTATATAGTTTTTATTTTGCAAAAGATAATTTTCTTATCGAGCATGAGAAAAATGTAAACATTATTTATATCATCAAAATTGCATCGATCTTCGTAACCAAAATGAAAATTTCAATTAAAATGGAAAGTCTTTATTACAAGGTTTAAGTAAAAGTTCCCACAATCAAGCATAAACTTCACAACGGACAAAAAGAAAAAAGAAAAAAAAGTCAAAGTCACTCATTGAATGGAGTCCATATGTTCCTTGATAAATCAGGATGAGATCAAGGAAATATTTTATTTGGGGATTCAAGTACCACAAAAGGAATGAAGAGACAAAGTGCATCAGTTCTGTGAGATGCAATATGAAGAATCTTAATCTCTGTCGACATAGAAACAGGAAACATTCACGATTAAGTAGATATAATTGTAAAGAATCAATTCAACCCAAAAATTTAAACCGGAGGGTGAGGTTACATTAATAATTTTATATATATCTCTAATATGCCCATCACAAGAGAGCCCGTTGGACTTGAAAGATCGATGATGCATCAAACTCAATCTACCTATGCTAGAAATTCCACAAAGAAAATTGGGGAGGGAGCCAGGCAGCGAAGATCGAATCCAGAACACGGAGGCTCTAATTTCAACCCAAAAGCTTAAGCTAGTAGGTGAGGATACATTAATTGCTTTATATATATCTCTAACAATAATTATACAAGCAAATGGGTCTTGACTTAACTTTTGAATGCTGAATAAAATCCTTGTTAATGGTTAATGAGAGAGTGCTTATTAAAAGTTAGCAAACAACACACATTAAGTGTACATGCATGATGATCAAAATAAAAAATTAGAATTTAATACAAACATAACAGATAACATAAACAGAATTAAGAAATATAAGCCACTCCCATACATGGGTGATAATGGCTTTGTAATTTTCAAGCATTCACAAGAGCAACACTATATGGTAATAGTTAAGAGCACCTTTCATATTTCAGACATTGCCTGGTGTGGGAATGCGCCTTAACTCATAGTCACGAAACCCTGCTCCCACAATCTTACGAATTTGTACAAAGGGAATATGCTTGATAATCCAATAGCTTTGTCCACCTTTGTCTGGATCAATGCTTTCAACTAACTCATTTGGCATATCAGCAAAGCCAAGAAATTGTAGTTTCTCCAAGTGTTTGAGGTCATGGGGCACCACCTTCAATTGTGGGTTATTGTTAAATCGAAAGTGTTCAAGAGATAGCAAAGCTCCTTTGTCAATAGAGATAGAACTTAGTCTATTTAATCGAGAAAGATCCAATTCCTTCAGCTTTGGAAATCCCCCTTTTTGAAAATGCAAACTTTCACCATCATAAGCATCATCCCACATATTAAGCCGCAACAGATTTGGCAAGTTTTTGAGTGAGTCTAGTGGATCACCTTCTAACTTGGATAAACCAAGCCTTAGCTTAACAAGGTACTTGAGTTTTGGAATCCATTCAGGTAACTTGTCTAATTTAGCTTTCAAATTAAGCACTCTAAGTTTGGTTGGAGCTGACTTTAAATTCATGTCAATGATTTCATCCTTAGCAATAGCACTAACATTGAGAGATTCTAGTTGTTTCATCTCTTCTATTGCAGCACATAGTGCATTCCCATATCCTCTCTTCACGCGCCTTATGCCTAGCTTCCTTAACTGTTTCAAATTTTTGAGCTCTTCCATAAGGTCTTCTCCACCATGATCTGCTTCCAAAAAGTAAAGCTTTTGTAGTGATTTCAAGCATCCAATACCATGTTGCATTTGCAACCCAGTTGTAAAGTTCAACATAGAATAATGCCCTTCATATTTTCTGTAGTAAACTGGAAGAAGTCTTAGCTTTGTGAGATTGTTTATCTCCCTTGGTAGCACATGCACACGGGTTTGTCTTAGATCCAGAGTTTCTAAGTTCAGAAGCTTACCAATGGATTTGGGAAGAACCTTTACTTTTGTATGACTCAAGTTTAGGTACCTTAGGTGAAAAAGATTTCCCAAATCATCAGGAACAGAATTGAACAAAGCACTTTCAAAATCAAGTACTTTCAAAAGCTTAAACTTAGCAAATAGTCTTTTCACAAAATCTTCATGCAATTCACCTTTGTCAAAAACAAAAATAGCGCGAATGCCTGAGTTACTAGTGCTTGCCAACACATTATTGTTGGAACTAGTTGCTATAGAAAAGCGTCTAGTTATCCCAACTGTTTCTAGTTCATCATCTCCAAGCAACAAATGGCAAAAACTCAAATCTTTCATTTTTGCAATGATTATTTCACGTAGTAAATCATGCACTTGACAGTTTTTGACTTTGCCATCAAAGCCAACTTTGGAGACTTGAACCAAACTTCTATGTATCAACTCCACCAAGTACTCTTCAGCAACATCTTCCAAAGTTCTTCTCTCCTCGTGTTTAACAAACCCTTCAGCCATCCATTGCCTAGTGAGTCTCTTACGACTGATGGAGTAATCCTCTGGGTACATACCAAAGTACAGCATGCATGATTTCAAATTGTAAGGCAGATCATCATAACTAAGAGATAAAATCCTTGTTATACCATCTAGATGTGCATTACACTGTAACTCCAATCTCAGATTTTCACTCACATTTCCCCATTCTGACATGGATTTTGGTTTTGTTGACAAAAGACCACCAATTGCAACAATTGCTAGTGGTAACCCTCCACATTTTTGAACAATTTCATTCGAAATCTCCTTGAGTTCTGTTGGACAAATGCATCCAGGCTCAGATCTAAATGCCTTCTTCCAAAAGAGTTCCCGTGCTTTATTTGGAGGCAAAAGTTGTAGCTGGTGAATATGAACCGTGAAAGATGACTTAAAAAATTCCGCAACTCTCATCATTCTGGTGGTGACTATGATTCTACTTCCTCTGTTATTATTAGGCAAGGCATGCTTAATCTCATCAGAAAAATCTTCTTTCCAAACATCATCAAACAATACCAAATACTTCTTTGATTGAAAACGTTGTCTCACTTCTGTACGCAATGCATTCTCATCCATCTCATGCAGACCCTCTGGAAGAGGTTCTTTAGTCTCTTTACAAAATTTCTTTATCATATCTATGAATAACCTTTTCACAGTGTATGATTGGGAAACTGTGATGAAAGTACGATAATCAAAGTGCTTATTCACCTTCTGGTTGTCAAAAACTTGTTTGGCAAGAGTGGTTTTTCCAACTCCTCCCATGCCCACCACAGAAACCACTATGCTTTCATTACTACGATCCTCCACTAACCAACCAATCAAATCAACAATGGGAGATTCAAAACCAACAACTTCAGTTTCTTCAATGAAAAGGGAATCCACTCGAGGATCATGCCGTTCGACATCATTTGTCCGTTCAAGTGAAGGCAGAAAACTTTTACCTCTTTCTTTGATTCCATTAACTGATAATTTGATGTCTTGAATCTCAGATGCAATCCTGTGACGATGCTTCAAATTTTTTATCATATGAACAATCTTTTTGATTAAGGCTATGCATCCAGGATGATTGATTCTTCTCTGTGCAACATACATGATGTATTCATCAATGACATCTTCTATGTGAAAAGATGCTTCTCTGAGCTGCTTCACCCAAGTTTTTATTCCTTCATTGTTGTCTCTTCCATCTCTGCTAGCTCTTCTGTCTGCATCCTTCAAGAAGGCTTGGATGCTCTCAAGTTCATCTTTGATGTCTGTGAAATCTTTTGTAACACCTCTGAGCAAATTCCCTTCTTTTATTAGAAGTTGGCACAATTGCTGCACAACAAAAGATACTGCAGTTTCTGCCATTTCTTTTCATTTCATCTCATCTCATCATCTTAGCTTTCTATTTCCGCAACGGGAAGCTCTACTATGACGATAGTTTTGGGTGCTTTTTTTGTTACTGCAAGCTTTGAATCATGGAAATGTGTTGATGAATCAGTGTAGATGAAAATACTTTTCTAAGGTGTTCGTACCATTAATTTTAACTTCATCAGGTCTATGTTTAATTACTGCAAGCCAATTAAGTTGGTGTGTTGGTGTGTACGGGTGGTGGGTAATAAGGATTGATTGACATAGCTGTAATAAGAATTTGATATAAACATGAATATATTTCACACCAACAAATTTAAAAATAGGTTAAAATATTTGACATGAATAGATACACTTATTTTACGTATTAATATGACGTAAATAATTTGTCAATCTCAAAAGTTTACATGACATAAATAATATGTAAAAAATTAATAGAGGTTAATTTTGTGTTCATGATTTGACATCTGACATGATATAAATTTTTTCATATTTATTTTTATTAATACAAACATAACACGAATTTAAAAACAGATCAACCCACACACAAATTTTTGTGTTATATTATATCGTATGAGTGAGTTGTATTAAAAATTAACACCCGTAATTTGTTGAATAGTTATCTCACGAAAGAAAGTTCATTACTTTTATTTTATTTTAGTATTTAGGATGTATGTGATCCTGAATGGTTCCAAACTTCCTTTACCTGGCCAGCCTTAAATGAGGAGCATATGAGGCTATTCTCTTTAGATATCACTCAAGAGGAGGTTAGAAAGGCTTTTTTCCAAATGGCTCCATTGAAAACCCCTGGTCCAGATGAGTTTCCTGCATTATTTTTCCAGAGGAATTGGGATCTGTTCAGGGACCAAGTTTACAGGAGTATGAAGATGTATATAAACAGACCTGAGCAGATTAAGGAGATAAACCATACTCTCCTTACATTAATTCCCAAGGTAGAAAGACCCGGTTGTATGAAGCAATTTCGTCCCATTGCACTGTGCAACACCATGTATAAGGGGCTGAGTAAAATCCTGGTTAATAAAATTAAGCCTTTCCTAGGAGATCTCATCTCTCCTAATCAGGTTAGTTTCATTCCTAAGAGGAACATTCAGGACAACATTATCATTGTCCAAGAACTTGTTCACTCTATGCATAGGATGAAAGGGAATAAATGCTACTTTTCTATTAAGATAGACTTGGAGAAAGCTTATGATAAACTCAAGTGGAGTTTTGTGAGAGCTGTCCTTGATGAGTTGAAGCTGCCAGGAGAGTTAGTAGCAGTTATTATGGGTTGTGTTACAAGCCCCTTCATGGAGGTGCTTTAGAATGGGGCCAGAACCCAGGGTTTCTATTCTCAAAGGGGTCTAAGGCTAGGGGATCCCCTATCCCCTTACTTATTCGTCCTTTGTATGGAGAAGCTTACTCATCTAATCATGGATGAAGTTGGAAGGAAGCAATGGCAGCCAATCAAAGCAGGCAGATCAGGACCTCAGATCTCCCATTTAATGTTTGCAGACGACATAATATTATTTGCTGAAGCCTCTCTTGATCAACTGGAGTGTATCACTGGTTGTTTGGATAAATTTTCTCGAATGTCAGGGCAATGTGTTAGCATGGAGAAATCATGTATATATTTCTCAAAGAACACTGCCCAGGAGACTGTGAAGTCCATTTCAGATGCTAGTGGATTCAAAGTTGTCAAGAATTTGGGCTGATATCTTGGAACCTTGATGAGACATGGTCGGACCAGAAGAGATCATTATGCCAATGTCATTACTAGAGTGCAGAATCGGTTACAAGGATGGAAAACTAAATGTTTGTCCATGGCTGGTAGGATAACTCTAGCTAAGAGTGTTATTTCTGCAATGCCAATGTATCACATGCAAAATAATACTCTCCCCTCTCATATTTGTCAAGATATTGAGAAATTACAACACAATTTCATTTGGGGAGACATAGATCTTAAAAGGAAAGCCCACTATGTAGCTTGGGAGCAATTGTATAAACCCAAGGAGTGTGGTGGATTGGGTATCATAAATCTGAAGTTGCAGAATGAGGCTTTCATGCAAAAGAGAGCTTGGATGATTATTAATGATCAGAAGAGTCTCTGGTCAAGAGTATTGCTTGGTAAATATGGGAGAAAAATTGATCCTAGGAGACACTTAATTGCTAGATATAGTGATTCTGCATTTTGGAAGAGTTTATGTGCAGCTAGATCTAATCTGGAACAGCACTTGAGTTAGGAGATTGGAAATGGGAAGACTGCTTTGTTTTGGCTTGATTGTTGGAGTGGAGGACCCAAGAATCTGTTTGAACTTGCCTGTGATAAACCAACTAGTTCTGATCAAGAGCTAAAGGTTTGTGATCTTGTGGATCAGATGTCGGGTGATTGGCAGTGGGATTATTTGAAGAAATTTCTAGCTGAAGACACTATTGGGAAGTTAAGTAATATTCTTCCCCCTTGCTCGAATGGTCCTGAGGATAGGGTCTGTTGGACTAGGAATAGTGCCAGCAGATCATTGGTCAGCAATGCTTATCAACAGCTTGCTGCTTCTAATCTGGAAAAAGATAAAGTTTGGGCAAGAATCTGGAAGTGGAAAGGTCCACATAGAATAGTTGTATTCATGTGGTTAGCTTGTCTCAATAAGCTACCTGTTCGAAGTACTACCTGTTTGTGGAGTGGAGGTGAGATATTATGCCCAGTTTGCTTAACACATCAGGAGACAAGCATGCATGTGCTTCGAGATTGTTCAAGAGCCAGACAAGTGTGGGATACATGGTTTGATGGCTGTGTTCCAGATGACTTCCTGTTAGCTGAGGGTAAGGACTGGTTCAATTTTAATATTTCTTTGCCTTTTTCTGCCAAGCTGTGGCATCCTTGGAAGGAATTATTTTTTGTCACTTGTTGGTATCTATGGCAGTGGAGAAACATGACTGTGCATGATGATCAGTTTTCCTGGCCCTTAGACCCAATTGGCAAGATTCTGCATTATTTGAGAGAAATGAAAAGGAGTTGTTCTGATGAACCTTTCTCTCAGAAGTTTGAAGTCCCTGTTGTTCAGCCTGGGTTCAATCATTTTGACCAAAAGGAGGTTTTAAAATTATTTGTTGATGGTGCGGTCAATCTGAATAGCAAAGTTGGTACCTGTGGAGGGGTTTTATGTGGCTCGAATGGGGACTAGTTTAATGGTTTCTCTCTCAATTTAAGGACTTGTTCTACCCTGGAGGCTGAATTACAGGGCATCTGGCAGGGACTTAAGTTGGCTGAAGAGTTGAATTTCCAAAAGATATGGGTAGGTAGTGATAGTAAGGAAGCACTTTCATGTGTTAGCTTCCCTTTTAATTCGAATGATTGCTCCTTGTTAGTAAGACGAATTAGGAAAATTGTCAAGTCCTTAGGTCAGGTTCACTTTGAATTTGTTCCTAGGGAATTTAATTTTTGTGCTGATAGTCTTGCCTTATTAGGCTTTAATGGTAGGGGTGGAGAGTTGAAGCTGTATTCCTCTCCCCCTATGAATATTTTTCCTTTTTGGAGAGACACTTGTAATTACTTGCTGATGGAGCATGCATCTTTTAGCATGCATCAGCTTTCAATATAGTTCTGGGCTAGGCCTGCCATTATTACCAAAAAAAAAAACATGCATTAACTATCTGTTTAGTGTTTCTGGGCTAGGCCCTCCATTTATACACCAACACCAACACCAACACCAACAACACCTTTATCCCAAATTAATTGGGGTCGGTGGTAGATGAACCCACATGAAAGATACAAAACGGTTGAAAAAAAGTAAAAAAAAAATAAAAATAAAAATAAATAAATAAATAAATAAAAATACACAAATAAAATAATAAAATGAAATAAAATGAAATAAAAATATATGTATATATAAATAAATAAAAGTAAAAAAGAAAGGGACAAGAAGAAGTGGGGGAAATGAAGGGGAAAAGGACTAAAAAAGGACCATCTGGAACATAGGAATAACAGCGGGTCTAACCCTCCACCATACTTATAGCTTTTCTCCATTCCTTTCTAAGACATACTGTCCGCCAATCTATATCCCACTCCATTAAATCTTGTTTTACTACTTTTCCCCAAGTAAGCTTCGGCCTACCTCTGCCTCCTTTTGTGTTTAGCTCTTGGTAACAAACTTCTGTTCTTACAGGAGCATCCATGGGTCTTCTCATCATGTGCCCAAACCACCTCAATCTATGTTCTCTCATCTTCTCGGCTACCGGTACTACTCCGACCTTTCGTCGAATATCTTCATTTCTTATCTTATCCATCCTTGTGTACCCACACATCCACCTTAACATCCTCATCTCTGCTACTCCCATCTTATGCTCATGTTGCCTATGTGCTGGCCAGCATTCCGCTCCATATAGCATTGCCGGTCGTACTGCCGTTTTATAGAATTTTCCTTTTAACTTCAGGGGGATTTTGCGGTCACACAAAAATGCAGATGCACTACGCCATTTCATCCACCCTGCTCTGATTCTGTGATTTACATCCTCATCAATTTCTCCACCATTTTGTAAAATGGAGCCCAAGTATTTAAAAGCATTTTTTTTGGGTACCTCTTGACCATTTAGATGCACAGGTTCTTGGTCCTCATCTTGTACCAGAGAAAACTCACACTTCAGATACTCAGTCTTGCTTCGACTTAATGTGAATCCTCTGGATTCCAATGTGCTTCTCCACAATTCAAGTTTTCTATTAACACCCTCCTTGCTCTCATCAATAAGCACAATATCGTCTGCAAAAAGCATACACCATGGCACTTCCTCTTGAATATCTTTTGTTAGTTCATCCATAACTAAGGCAAATAGGTAAGGACTTAGAGCCGACCCTTGGTGTACACCTACCGTGATAGGAAAATAACTTGATGATCCGTTACAAGCTTTTACACATGTAGTAGCCCCATCATACATATCCTTGATTGCCTTTACATACTTTAATGGAACATTTTTCTTCTCCAGGACCCACCATAAAACTTTCCTTGGAACCCTATCGTATGCTTTCTCAAGGTCTATGAACACCATATGCAAGTCCTTCTTCTTTTCTCGGTATCTTTCCATTAGTTGTCGCATCAAGAAAATGGCTTCCATGGTACATCTTCCTGGCATAAATCCAAATTGATTTACAGAAACCTTGGTATCTCTCCTCAAGCGATGTTCAATAACCCTCTCCCACAGCTTCATAGTATGACTCATTAGCTTAATGCCTCTATAGTTTGAACAATTCTGTATATCTCCCTTGTTTTTGTAGATAGGCACAATCATACTTTTCCTCCATACATCAGGCATCTTATTCGTCTGGAGAATCTTATTAAAAAGATTGGTCAACCATTTTATTGCCACATCCCCCAGGCCTCTCCACACTTCAATAGGGACACCATCAGGCCCCAAGGCTTTATTAGTCTTCATCCTCTTTAAAGCCTCCTTAACTTCATGTGTATTAATTCTGCGTACAAATCTTCTATTCATATCATCATACGCGTCCTCTAAGTCCACCTCGCTTGTATTTCCATCCCCATTAAACAGCTTGTTGAAGTATTTCAACCATCTTTCATTTACATCTTCATCTCTCACCAGAAGTTTTTGATTTTCATCCTTGATGCATCTAACTTGAGTGAGGTCTTTACTTTTCTTATCCCTTATCCTTGCAAGTTTATAAATACCTCTTTCACCATCCTTGCTCCCAAGACTTTTATACAACTCGTCGAAAACCTTGCCTCTCGCTTCTCGCACTGCTTTCTTTGCATTTTTTCTCGCCAATCTAAACTTTTGCAGGTTCTCTTCATTGGGACTTTTATGCAAAGATCTAAAGCACTCCTTCTTATGTTTAATTGCCTCTTGCACCTCTCCATTCCACCACCATGTTTCCTTTGTATGAAATCCATTTCCTTTGCTTTCTCCCAACACCCTCCTTCCCAAATTTTGAATACACTTAGCCATCTCATTCCATATTGCATTTACTCCTCCATCAAACTCCCAAGGTCCTTCGTGCAACATTCTATCATTGAACTCTCTCTCTCTTTTCCCTCCTTAAGCTTCCACCACCTTATCCTTGGATTCTGAGCCCTCTTCTTCATTGTACGTACTTTGTTGAACCGAACATCCAAGACTACCAGCTTATGTTGCGTAGCAACACACTCTCCAGGGTAGACCTTACATTCGACACAAGAAGTTCTATCTTCTCTTCTAGCCAGAAAGAAATCAATCTGACTACGATTATGGCCACTATGATAAGTGATCAGGTGTGACTCCCTTTTTTGAAAAAAGGTGTTCACTAACATCAAATCGTAGGCTAGTGCAACATTCAAGATATCTTCTCCAGTCTCGTTTCTCGTCCCATAGCCAAAACCTCCATGGATTCTATCAACACCTCCATTGCTTTTACCAACATGACCATTTAGATCTCCTCCTACGAAAATCTTCTCCTCTCGAGGTATTCCCCTCAAAACCTCCTCCAAGTCTTCCCAAAATTGGCTTTTATCAGTTGGTTGCAATCCAATTTGGGGTACATACACACTGAGGATATTCAGGATTAAGTCACCCACAACAAGCTTAACCAGAATAATCCTGTCGCCTTTCCTTTTGACGTCCACAACTTTATCTCTGAAACTTTTGTCGATCATAATTCCAACACCATTTCGACTCTTGTTTGTACCTGTGTACCATAACTTGAAACCCGTTCCATCCACTTCCTTGGCCTTTTCTCCAGCCCACTTAGTTTCTTGCAAACAAACAATATTCACTTTCCTTCTAGCAAAAACATCTGCCAACTCCCTCAATTTACCCGTTAAGGTTCCTATGTTCCAGCTTCCCAATCTCATCCTTAACCCCTGGGCTGTGCTTGCCCGCCACGCTCGCCCATCTGCGTGTTGGGACCCTGGCATACTTCTCACCAAATCCGGGTGAAGACCTGGCGCCTTGCCTTGGGGCAAGGACCCTAGCCCACTTTTCACTACACCTCGGGCCCGATGCAGCGCCTTGCCTTGTGGCAAGGACCCTAGCCCATTTTTCGCTACACCCGGGGCCCGGTGCAACGCGTCGCTATGAAGGGTACGCCCCAACGAAAAATCATATAGGTTCATCACATGAAAATATAGCTGTTTTTTACGGCCGGTTCGCAACACCTGACGCCAACCCTCCTCCTTTATCCTGGCTTGGGACAGGCCATGCATGCAAGCACACATGGGCAGAAAACTTTAGTATAGGCACTCTTTTTGGCCTAGGACTTACATTAGAATAGGATTGTCTCTTTTGCTCTTCTCTGGTTAGGAAAATATCTAACAATCCTTCCCTATTTTTACTGTACTCCTTTTCTCTCTAATAAAATGGAAAAAAAAAAAAAAAACTTAGGATTCAAACCAACGTTAACAGAATCAAGATTGAATTTCAGTAGGGTTTAAACATCCAAACTCAAAAGCATAGTTCTTTCAGCAGTTGAGCGGGGTTTCTTAACATCAGCCAATGAAATCATGGAATCCATGTATTTTATCCAAACAAAACTGCTATTTAAGGGTTTTACGTTAGGAAAGAAAAAGCAAGTGAGTTCATATAACACAATGGGTCCACTCTAACCATTGTCCAAAAGGCCCATTTAAAACAACAAGCAAAGCCCAAACCCAAGCAAAAGTCAAGTAAATAAATTTAAGTAAGCCCAGGCAGTTGTTTTTCATTTATCGATGACGTGGCTTCATATCAAAGTGTGATCGGTGGAGATCCTCACAGTAACCAATGCGACCGCACGTACCAAAGCAGGGCTACACAAGGAGAAGTTTCTCGAATATTGAAGCGTGAGGTTACAATTTACATATATTACGAGCGAATTTACACCATCGAGAATCAAAGCATTTTCTCTTCGTCTACAATAAGAAAGGGTGCGTTTTGCAAATTGTGTGTATCTGGTAAGTTCCAACCCATCTCCGATTCTGATTTTCTTCTGATCCATCATTCTTAATTGATTGCATCGTACATGAGGAAACTTTTGTGTGCTGTATTATGATTAATTTTCTCTATTTTCAAGTTGTTGATTTTCTAGTGTTGTTTTCGGAATTGATCTGTTAGGGTCTGGGGTTTCGTTTGTTTTGTAATCGATTATTTTCGATTATATATATGTATGTGTGTGTTTTTATGGTTTAGATTTGTTTATAATAATTTTCGTTTTTGTGGTGATAGGTGAAACAAGATGAGGGGTAGAAGCTACAGTTACAGTCCCTCACCTCCAAGGCGTTACAGCCGAAGAAGGCGCAATCCTAGCCCTAGGGGTCGTTACGGAGGACGTGATAGGGATTTGCCAACAAGTCTACTGGTTCGGAACCTCCATAAAGATTGCAGGTAACCATGAACGATTTTTAGCTTTGCAGTATCTATTATATTTGAAATGCTATTGTGTGGATTTAATCCCTTATTTTCCTTATATATGTACCTTTGACTCCTGCTTTTATATGGATTCATGATGTTGATGCTGCTTTTATATTGATCTTGGTATCCATAAAGATTTTTTTGGCTTTGCAGTAGTTTTTCTATTTGTAATGATTGGTTCAACTCTATTCTGTGTATCAGGATTATGTACTTTTTTTCGTTTCTATATCATTTTTCCTTAAATTTGTTTCTTCTGTTCACTCACACGCGCGTAATATGTATGTATGAATTTGTATATCTCTTCGGTTGATCTTTTGTGTGTAATGAAAACATAGGTGTTAAAAAAGTTGTGAGTATACGAGCAGTGTTCTTGCTTAATGTAAGGCTGTTAGTTAACTGATTTGGATTTTTACCAAAATAATTGGTTTGCAGGGGGGAAGATCTGCGTGCCCCATTTAGCCACTTTGGTCCTCTCAAGGATGTTTACCTGCCTCGAGATTATTATACTGGGTAAGTGTCTTTTCATTGGGTGTAACATTGCTCATTTATGTTTTGAAATATTTTTAGGTCCCTTTTCATTCATAAATTGCTTGAGTTGTGATGTTGTTTTGAAAATTTTTAATTGTGAAGTTGTATTAAGTTGTGTACTGGTTTGGGATTTCGTAAATATTTATGGTGGCTTTTTCCCGAGTATTTAGTTTTGCCACTTATATCTCAGTAAGAATTAATTACTCCAATTATTTTATGGGAATTTGGTTGTTTTATTGAAAGAGTTGAAGACACCATTGAAGTAATAAGAGTACTGTGTTGAAGACAAGAAAGAAGTAATAAGAGTGTCGTGTTGAAGACACCAATCAAGTAATAAGAGTTCTGTTCAAGGTGATGTTAGTGTACTTGAAGGTTCGGAAGCTTGAGTTTGAATTCATTGTGAAGAAGTTGAAGGTCTTGAAGATTTTCATCTCAATTAATACTTTGGCATCTACAAGGTTAGCATCCATGTGGTGTTTTATTATTGTATTCTATGGAATGTTGAGTATGGCTTATGATTGTTTGGAGTCAGGATCATAATCATATTTGTATCTGCAATCAACCCATCTCTGGTATGCAGGTGTGCTTGTTTATAACTCCATATATATGGTGTCTCTGATGCTTTTGGATTTTATGGTACAGGGAGCCAAGAGGCTTTGGGTTTGTTCAATATGTAGACCCAGCTGATGCTGCAGATGCAAAATATCATATGGATGGTCAAATTCTTCTAGGTCGTGAGTTAACTGTGGTGTTTGCTGAAGAAAACAGAAAGAAACCTGCAGAAATGAGAGCAAGAGAACGTGGGAGGTAAATGTTTAGTTGTTTGTAATGATGTCTGTGTTAACGTGCATTAGTAATAGAGTAATAAGATGTCGTATTTTAAATTGCCTTTGTTTATTTTATTCTCATGTTTGAAATATTTTCTGTATTCATTCTCTCTAGGGATCGGTCATATGATTATAGGAGATCTCCACTGCGTCAGTCTCAATCGCCTCGGTATGCACGAACCTATTCACCTGATTCAGACTATTCACTTTCCCCAAGACGAAGGAGATATTCAAGGTTTGTTTTTACATTAGCTCATTTGATGTGATTTGTGCAATGTTTACATTCTTAAGAAAGCTTCCTCCATTATGATTCAGGTCAATCTCACCAAGAGATAGAAGGTACAGGGATCGATCATACTCTAGATCACCTTATGGATCAAGGGGCCGCAGTCGAAGCAGGAGTTACAGCAGGAGCATGAGCAGAAGTCCAGGTTACTCTAGGTGATTTACTTGACGGGCTTGATGAATGCGATGGAAGATATTGTAGTTTTCAACCAGGATTGTGTGTTAAATGCTTCAGATTATTAGTATGTTGTTAATTTGTAGAAAGGATCTGTCTTGGTTTTCTTTACGAGACAATTTTCATTTATGCTCTAGTTTAATCCGAACTATGATTGAACTGCTTGTTAGAGAACGTAGTGTTTGCATTTCAGCTACCGTGTATTTAGTTATGGATTTTCATGGATGTTTATTCTGCCCTTTCAGTACTTTTGCTTAATTTCTTCTGCAATGCAATCTGCGTATGCCTAGCGGACTCGAGTAAGCACTTTATTTAGTGCCTGTTTGGATCCTCTTATTTTTAAGCTAGAAGTTACTTATAAGCATAAGCTAGGCCAAACAGGTTTTGAAAAAAGCTCTTATAACGAAAAACTCTTTTTTTTATAATGAAGAAAAAGCTGAAAATTAAAAGCTCCTAGGAGGAGCTTTTTTTTAAGCTCTTATCTGTTTTTCTTGAATTGTGTGCTTTTTTTTTAAATGAAGAGTGATAAAGATAGAAAAAAAGATAATTTTCTTGAAATATGTGCTTTTAAGTAATTTTTAAGCTAAATTTTTTTTGTAATTTCCAAACAGCTTTTAGCTTCTTTTTTTAAGCTCTTTATTTTAACTTTATATGTGATTACCGGAATTCAAACATTGAACATCATCATCACAGAAAAGCTAGACTTTGTGTACGATACATCCCGTGGTTTTATACTTATTCAAAATTAAATTAAATGAAAATATAGTGATTTAATTATTATTATTAATAAAATAACAGCATATCAGCATCAATTTGATTTCACTTTATTATCATTTTTATTAAGTCATATTTTGTGAAAACCCTGAAATAATTTTTTTTTTAAAAGGAAAGACAAAATAAGTACTGATGCAGTTTTTTTCCTTAAGATTGTTAAATTTAAATAAGTTCTCAAATAACCGGAATTTCTATGATTAACTTATATTTGAGTAATTCTAAATTATTTAGTTTTTAAAAAATTCCACATTATACACTGTCTCTGTGGGGCACCCAACAGGAGCGAGGTACCTAGGATGCGCGGCAAAAAAAATTAAAATAATATATTTAAATTAAATAATTACGCATTTAATGCTGTTTTGTAAAAAATTACACATCTACTGCACAATGTGACGCACCTTTTGGGCGTCACATGTGTGCTCTATATATTTCCTCACCCGCTCCATTCAATTCACACCTCTTCTCTCACTCTTCATATCTCTCTTCTCCACCAATATTCCTTTATCTTTAATTTAGTATTTGAATTTTAGTTCTAATTCTATTTAAAAATGAGCTCAAATCCTGATTATGTTCGTGTTGTGTTATATTACAATGGTAGGAAGGTAGAAGGTCGACGAGGTGTCATATTCGAAGGTGAAAAAAGGCCGACACGTATCCAATGCAACACAACCATTGGCGAACTGCATCAGAGAATTCGGCAGAAGTTAAGTCTTCAAGACAACCAATGTATCACTGAGATCACGACAACGGTGTGGCAAGGTGATAAATACATTAGTTTGAAAGTGCTTGACGATGAAGACTTGGAGATGACAATGGAAGAATTTTGCAACCAGTCAAGGACAGATTTTCTAGAGTTGTATGTCGACATCGTCGCAACGGAGAATGCTCCCATACCGGTGAGGTCAGTTTATTTAAATTCTCCCCGTCTTCCAGCTTCTCCTGCCGCTCATGCGTCTCCAGTTGGTAACTTTTCTGAGGGAGATGAAAATGATCCGACTTGAGAAATGCACGACGAAGATGACAATGACGACGATGAAAATATGGCAATGGAAGAACATCTTCTGGCGGAGGATGCTAGTGCTTCAGAAGGAGATGAATCTCGTGAGATGGGTGCGTCTGAAATCCCAATATTCCATCAACCAGTCGTCGCGCAAATGCCGCAGTTGAATGACGTTGCGTCTGCTCCGTTTGGTATTCCACAAGAAGGTAATTGTTCCCATTTGTATACTGCGTGAATAAATTACTGATTTAATACCTGAATTAGTAAGTTCGTATTACAAAATTATACTCTGCAATTGCAGGTGACACAGATTTATTCCTTTTTGGGAAGGAATTCCGCATTATTGTTACATTGATTGGAGTTATCAGAGCGAACAAGAATCATGTACTGATGGTTCGGTGTCTGGATCGGCTTCAATACAAGGTCCGTGGCAATTGGGTGACACGTTATTTGTCGATCAAGAATTTGCGACAAAAAAAGATGTCCAAATGGCACTTAAGCACAACCTTATTAGGGAGCATCAAGAAGCCATTGTAATTGAGAGCACGCCTGCAAAGTTGTCCATGAAATGTTGTGCGTACGATCAAGGTTGTCTGTGGCGCGTAAGGGCGACCAAACCGGTGTTTCGTGAAAATTGGAAAATAACGAGATGGGGTGGAAAACACGAATGTGTGAATGAGCACATTTCCCAGGGTCATGCTCGATGTGGACGTTATTGCAGATCTCGTGATAGGTACCTTTTTGTATTTTGGAAGTGTGAATGAACACGAATGTGTAATTAAATTTGTTTGATGTTATCGAGGCACTGATATCCTCTTCAATGCAGGGATGATAAAGTCTGAACCATCTGTGTCAATCTCTTTGGTGCAAGAAAGGATAACTGCTAAATATGGCTTTCAAGTTTCCTACAGAAAGGCGTGGTATGCGAAGCAGAAAGCGATGGCAATTCTGTACGGTGATTGGGAGGAATCGTATGCTTTTTTACCAAGGTGGTGCAAATACATGCTTCGCTTTTCTCCAGGTTCATTTTATCATATACAAACTAATGATCTTTATGCCGAGGAGAGCTTAGTTTCTGGAAAAAGGGTTTTTCATCGCATTTTTTGGACGTTTAGACAGTGTTGTGAGGCGTTCAAATTTGCCAAACCCGTCATACAAATTGATGGAACACATTTATATGGAAAGTACAAAGGGAAATTGTTGGTGGCCACAGCCCAAGATGGTAATAATGAATGTTTACCGATCGCATTTGCCATCGTAGAAGGCGAAACCTTGGAAGCATGGGATTATTTTCTCGTTAATATTCGTGTTCATGTGACTACGATGTCAAACATATGTTTGATATCCGATCGACATCGAAGCATAATATCTGCTGTGGAAAATAACCCTACTTGGCAGCCGCCAAATGCGTATCACGTATTCTGTAATCGTCATATTGCAAGCAACTTCAATCAAAAGTTTTGAAATGAAGATTTGAAGCGGATGTTAAAGAATTTAGGTATACGATATTGACTGAATGCGTAATTATTTCTTTCCATTATAACTGTCAATTTATGTTTAATTCATTCATGTCCAATTTGTGCAGGTTATACTCCAGCAATGGTTGATTTTGAAAGGAATCTTGCGAGTTTCCGTGAAAGTAGTCCTCAAATTGTTGAGTGGATTGATGCGATTCCTAAGGAAAAGTGGTCGCGTGCCTACGATATTGAAGGACGGAGGTACGGTCATATGACAACAAATTTGGCTGAATCTGTCAATAGGGTTTTGAAGGGGGCCAGAAATATGCCTATAACAGCATTGGTTAAGCATATATATAGTAGATTGGTTGCATATTTTGTTGAGAAAGGAACAAATGCTCTTGCACAACTTCAATCAGCTCATCATCACTCCAAACATGTTGTTGAATTGGTCAAGAAGAACCAGGTAGATGCAACAGGCCACCACGTTCGTGCATACAATGTTGAACATACTGTATTCGAGGTTGACGCAGGTTGGGAGCGTTCATATTCTGTCAACCTCCCACAGAGATACTGTCAGTGTGGAAAGTTTAAGGCCTTTAAGTATCTGTGTAGTCACGTCGTTGCTGCTGCGTTAAGTGTTAGGCAGAGTGTGTTCACTTACGTTGACGACGTCTTCTTGATAACTAACTTGGTCGAGGCTTATTCTTTTCCGTGGGAGCCAATCGGAAACGAGGAAGCAATACCTGAAATTAGTGGTGCAAAGATTATTCCTGATTCTACTATGTTGCGTGCAAAAGGTCGTCCAAAGTCAACTCGCATCCGCAACGAGATGGATGAAGTTGAGACAAGCCAGAGCCGTATCAGGTGTGGACTTTGCAAGGAACGCGGCCATAATCGTCGGCGATGTCCAAGTCGTGGGAGAAACGACTGATTTGCATATTATGTCATTATTTTGTTGTTGGTTATGTTATTGCATGAATTGTAATGTTCGTTATGTTGGACTTTTTACTTTCCGTTTATGTATGTTTTTATTCTTGTATTATTAATTAACTGATGCTGTTAGTTACCGTAATATAAATGCGCAAAG